GTTAGGAAAAAACCTTTAAAAATATAAATGGAATTATCAATAACCTAGAAATAGCCTTTATAAGAAATGTAACAGATATGGATAAAATAATCAAAATTTGTGTAAGAGATATAAAAGAAACAATGTGTAAATGTAGAAATCTAGCATGCTCTTATATAAAAACTATTATAAGCATGTAAGTTCTTCTAAGTTAATTTGTAGTAATATATCTATCAAAATTACTACAGGATTAAAAAAATAAGTGGAACAAAAATTATCTTGGAATGTATTTGGTAAAGAAAAAAGAAGCACATAGCAAAGAAAGATAAATGTGAAAAGGAGAGTAAAGAGGAGATGAGGAAAGAATTCTATCAGAAATTGCTGTATATTCTAAATGACTGTAATGAGTAATGCAATGAGGCACTGGCAGAACAGACAGAGTAACAGCAGAGAAGAAAGCCCAGAGAAAAACACGTACCTGCTACAGACTCATTCACTAGTGCATGTAAGAATTTAATAAGTCTGAAAGGTAGCATTTTAAATCAAATGCAGAAGAAAGACGCATTCATTAACTGACGCTGAGATTTCAGTGAACTACTTGGCAACAAGTAAATAAAAACCGTGAAAACATATAAACTAAAGTCTCACCTCAACTCAAACCCCCAGATAACTTCCACATAGGTCATCCTTAAATGCAAAAGAAAGAGAGAACAGAAAGAAACAGGCAGACAGAGAGGGGGGCAAGAGAGCTGGAGAGAACAAGGACGACAGCCCTGAGGTGCTGCTCAGGAAGAGACACAAGAACACAAACACAGCCCGGAAAAGAATCTGAGCGGGCCTTACCTGCTCCTCCCACACCTTCCTCTCTCTCTCATATGCCTCCTTCCTCTTCCGCCCCAGCTGTTCCTTCAGCACAGCAGCATGTGCATTTGCTTGGGCCTGAAAATGCAAACCACCCACAAAGCTGGTTACCAGATAGTAAGGCCTGGGGTTCCCACTCAGGCCTATAAAGATATTTACTTGCTAGTCAAACAGGTGCATGGTCCTAGGATAAAAACGCAAGCTCTCACTACATCTCTAGCACCTAGAACCAGGCCTGACACACAGCAGGGGCTCGGTAAGTATTTCTTGAATGAAAATAAATGCAGGCATATTTGAATGGAAGTAAAAATGCAAAACAATTGTTATACATGGACTTCATTTGTCTTCACAGAAATGTATATCTGTATGTTTTTCATTTTTAAGGTTGCCACTTTTTCTTTATACAATTACTTATGTGATAGTTTCATGCATTATGCCATGGCTTTATCTAATTGTTTGTCATAAATATGATACAAAGAGAAAAAAATACTATTTTTCAGAAACCCGAAAAGAGAAATAAAGAGGAAACAAAAAACAAAGCAAAAGAATAAAGTAATTTAACTATGCAAAACTGAAGAACACAATTTTCTATCTCAGTTTTCAACTTGCTCTAAGCAAACCTCTATCGTTTCTGGTCTATACCTTAAGCAATTCGGTTTTTTTGCGCCTTGTGTCAGCCTCTTCACTTCCCTCTTGTCCTTCCGAACTAACAGCTTCTTTCTACAAAATAAGTTGATAAGCAAATTGCTTAGGAAAGAATCATCAAACTCAGTGTGGAGTTCTGTGAAAGATAACATGAATATACTAAAGTCTAAAAATAGGAATAAAATAGGAATCAGTCAATGCTATTACCTCCTATTAGCCGGGCATGGTGGTATGTGTTTCTAGTCCCAGCTACTCAAGATGCTGTGGTGGGAGGATCACTTGAGTCCAGGAATTCAAGGCTGCAGTGAGCTGTGATTGTGCCATTGTACAATCTGCCTGAGTGATGCAGCAAGACCTCATCTCTTAAAAAAAAAAAGCCGGGCTCAGTGGCTCAGCCTGTAATCCCAGCCCTTTGGGAGACTGAGGTGAGTGGATTGCCTGAGCCCACAGGTTTGAGACCCACCTGGGCAACTTGGCAAGACCTCATCTCCCCTATAAAATCAAAAAAATTAGGCGGGCATGGTGGCGCACACCTGTAGTTCCAGCTACTTGGAAGGCTGAGGCAGAAGGATCGTCAGAGCCCAGCAGGTCGAGGCTGCAGTGGCCGGGAGCATGCCACTGCACTCCAGTCTGGGTGACAGAGTGAGACCCCAACTCAAAAAAAAAAAAATTCTCCCAAAGCTGCAGTTAAACTCTCTGCAACTATCAGCCCTTATGAATGATGGAACAAAAAGATTAAAAGATGGTAATATAAAATGCATTTTAATTCTTCCAGGAGTATTTATAACTAATTTTCCCCTCAGAATTGCTTTGGAACAAATGGTCCTATTGATCTTAAATCATGTAAATAAGATTCACTTTATCCCTATGCATAGTTTTCTGGTCTTTGAACTTTCACTCTCTTTGTCAGCTTTACTTTTTTTAGTGGCAAGGCTTTGTTAACCTTTGTCTATTATAATATTGCTCAATTATGTTTGAAAAAATTGATATTCAACCTACCTTTTCACCACGTAGCTTGGCTTTAATCTGTTGGCGCTCATTGAAATTCTGTAGTCTTATTTGCCGCAGTCTTGCCAAATAAACCTACAACCCAACATAATGACGTAAAAGAAAAGCTATTAACATTTCTTAAAAATTTAAGGCAAAGTGTTAATCTGAATACAAGAAATAAAAGTTCTGGAATCTGGTTAATGAAAATGCAACATTAGCTTTCATGTGTTTAATTAAGATCTACTTTCTTCTGAAAAGAAATATGTTGTGATTACAAATTTTTAATTTTATGAAAAGAAAAGAAAAGAGGTTGAACTCAGAATACTGAATAACAGTTATGGGGCAAAATTATGACACAGTGTGTCAGTCAGAATATATTAGCAGGTCCCTACAGACCTACAGGTCTTCAAATACTTGATAAGAATGAAACCATGCAAGAAAAGAAGGCAACAGCCTGAGCGGAAAGCGGGCGGAGAGGGCAGCATGCGGGAAGCATACCTCTTCCTCCTTGTTCTTGGGCTGCCCTCCTCCAGCCGACCGGGGCCCGCCTCCAGCCAGGGCTGCCCGGTGATGCAGGATCTCCTGTTCATCAATGCACTAAGTGTAAAGGGCGACCGGGCAGCAGCACCACCTCGCCAGGCACATCTAAGTGCCACTTTCTTTCTGTCACCAAACGCGACCGTTTCTTGATGACAAACCAGGGCAACGAACCCCGGCGTTTGCCTGTGCCAATCTGACACTGTATTCAGCGAGAATAGAAGGGAGCAATTAACTCCCAAGCATCATTAACCAAAACACAAACCAGCTATGTTTTCCTTAGTCATTTCAATAAAGGGGTTTTTACAACTGCTGTGGAGGTCAGATAAACCCCAAGCCCAATTTCCCCTCTACAAAGGACCACTTCATTTCCACATGTCTATTTCCATGCTACATACATGCACGCTCACACACAGAGCCAAACATGTGAGCTCACTGCTTCTGAATCCAACAAATTAATGATAAGAGCTCAGACATGCCCGGGTGCTTTACTGCAAATGGACTCATCGTGGTGAACACAGTTCATGTACTTCCTCTTCCTCAGCACATGGCATGTAGGGACCTGTGTGCACACTCCCAGTTCTTCTAAGCACACAGCACACTCCCAACTTAGAAGAATTCCTTAGTCCCACATCCCTGTGGAATGCTTCTTTATCAGCGTTTTGCAAGGTACTTTCTATAGTCATGACCTTCACTTTTCTGCTTCCCATTCATTTTTTAGCCCACTACACTGAAGTTTCTGGTCCCATGATGACTCTCAAAATTGTCTGTCACCAATGACTTCCTAGTTCACAATTCAAATGCATCCTTTAAGTAACTTTTGCACTTAACATTTCTAGGGATAATTAGTTTGGACTGAATCCACTTAATTTACATACGTGTTTTTTCTCTCGTAACAAATTATATATGTTCATCATAGAAATTTTATAAAATAAAATACGAATTGTTTATAATGCTGCCACCTAAGAAACTCAAAATTCAAGGGTATTCCAAATTTCCTTCTGCGTGTATATATAAATACAGATATGTTTATTTTTAGAAAACTGGGATTTTATCCGAGTTATCCTGACTTTTCCACTGAATATTATCTCCTGAGTCTCTTCCCACATCCATTTAATACTCCTCACAAACACTGTTCTTGTCTCAAACTCCTGGCTTCAAGCACTCCTCCTGCTTCAGCCTCCCAAAGTGGTGAGACACTGTGCCAGGCGGGCCCCATTATTCTTAAGTGACTATATGCCATTCTATATGCAAATCTCTACAATCCTCACATTTCCCAACTCTCTTCTCTCTCCTGGGTTCTTCAGTCTTGGTGACACCTCACAGGTGTTTCTCTTCCTTGGCTCACTGCTAAATGTCAATATTCTCTAGAATTTCATTTTTTGGCCCTCTCTCTTCTCACCCTAGGCTTTTTTTTTT